AGAACAAAAAAAAAACACATCGGTATTAACATTTAAATTTGCCTGTTAGACAAACTCTGGAATTCGACTGGAATCATGTTTACTGGGAGGAACTGGATGGGACTGGATGGTCAGTGCTTGTAAACACAGCCCCTGCAACAGGAGACCAGGGTGCAAGGCTGTGCTTTGCTACGCCTGTGTGTGACCTTTAGTGAGTCACTTAATCTTTCGGGGTCTCAATTTCCCCACCCTGTAAAACGGAGATGCAGAAATGAAGAGGGTGCTGGGCTCTGATAACCTGTTATGTGATAGCTCATGAAGTTCCTCAGACAGATGATAGCTGGGCAAACATGTCCCTGATATGGAGAGTCTGTCTCCAGCACGCTCAGCCCCTCCAGAGAGATCCCTGCCAGCACTGCCGGGGCGGAGAAAAGCCATTCCTTGCACGGAATTCCAAAATAAGCAAGTCAACGGAAAGGAAAAGTCCATGTACCTCCCACTATCCTCTCCAGAGCATCCCATATGGTTCAAGGTATAAGGTGTTTCAGGTATAATGTGTCTCAGGATGGGTCTGGACCCAAATCCTACAGCAAGGCAGACAAGGATCATGGCAGGGGGTTGGAATGAGATGATCCTTAAAGTCTTTCCCAACCCAAACCACTTGACTATTCCATGATCCTTCAGAAACATGCCCATAGTCTGCACAGACCAAAACATCCTGTGCAAAACCAACCAAGCCTCATGAAGGGAACAGTTTCAAGGCAGGATATTTCCTAAAGAGAGACCTTTTTGGGGGGGGGAGAAAGACTTTTTTGCTCTCCATTTCATTGCTTAAAGGGAGACCTTTTGGGGGGAAAAGCCTTTATTTTGTTCCCTGTTTCTGCCCTCCCATAGTTCTGCCCTCCACACTTGTGGCTCTCACGGGTCCTGAAGGCAAAGGGTTGTGTCTCTCCTTCTGGAAGGATAAAGGAAAAAGGGAATGAGAACAGGATAATTTTTTTCCTTGGGTAACAGCAGCCCCCTTTAATAGTGCCCCTTGGATCTGTAAGACATGCTTGACCAGACATACCTCTGGAAGAGGTCAGCACTCCTGGGATTAAGAAACTTAGCAACGCTCCAGAGAGGGAGTTGGAAAGTCATGTTTAATGATACTTTGCTGAGAAACTGGGCAAATTTAATTAAAACATCACTTACTCAAGCCCAGTGGAACTAATTGAGTGCTCTAATATTCCGACTTTTCATTAATGGGTTACAAAAGAGGGCTGCACTTGTGTGCACAAGGGGGAGGAGGGGGGGGAGGATATAGAGAGAAGATGAGAGGTTTAGCAAGGCTGCCTGGGCTTCTTTTAATATAACTAAGAAACTTCACTGCTGGCAATGGGGCTTTAATACAGTTGGCTTCTCTCACCACCACCACCCCCTCGACACACACAACCATCTCCCCCCAACACACACCCTCTCCACCCAGGACCCCTCGGAAAGAATGGCTGGATGAGAAAGAGTAGATTTGGCAAAGGAAGGGAAATTGCTTTTTTAATAAGTGGTCTATTCAGAGCTCCTACTTTTCAATAAAGAAGGAGGCTGGAGAAGTCCTGGTCTAATTACCTCATCCTCACACCAGACAAGCTCGCCCTTTCATTAACCACTGAGCTCATATCATATAACTTGGTGAGCCACCACGGGCACAACATGTTCAGTGATTAGTTCATTGGTGGCAGCAGAATTACAGGCAGCCCATCAAGGTTGTAAAAAAAAAAGCAGAAGTAAAATCATAATTAAAGGAGAACTTCCACCAAGAGACACTAAAACTAGGCGGGATGGGATAATGTCACCCTTCAGAAACACACGGATTGTTTGCTGGGGTGACACCATGGAGAAACTGCTCTGTTGACCAGAAGGTTGGTTGCCAAACTACTCAGTTAAGCACAGGTCCCTTTTTTTTTTTTTTCTGCTGGGTCTCAAGGGACTGTCTGTATGTTTTGCCACGGTTGGGAGTGATTAGATGGGAAAAATGACATGGGAGAGACCACCAATGGATATTCCTCCACTCCCTTGGCGAACACACACACACACAACGATCCACAGGCTCTCAGTGCTCCAGTTCAAAATTATTCAGCTCCAAAATGGCCCAGATCAAGGCTATCTGCACTCCTGTATTGCCTTTGATCAAATCCATATGAGTTATGGTTCAAACAGCCAAACTAGGTTAGTTCAAAGTGCTTTCAGGCTGTTGTAGTCGCTGGGTTAGCAAATCCTGCTCAAATAGTTGGAATGGCAGGAGTTATGGATGGGCAGCTCCTTTTGAAGACAGACAAGTGGAGAAAACATGCTGAGAATCGTATCTAACCCACTATCTTCCTCAAGGAAAATATGAATAAGTTCAGCAAGGTAAACATGGTAGTACCTGGTGAGTAACTTCATCCTCCAACGCTGCACTCACAGTGGAACCAGGAGGAAGGACATGGGTGGAACCTGATATTAATCTACACCCAAGTGTAGATTAATCTACACCCAATCCACCAACCACACCAAGAGGGTCAATTCTCAGGCTTCAAACTGATTTCAATTTTGGAATCTGAAGGAAGCACTGCAAGTTTTGGCCTTGCAGTTACAAAACGAGTTTTGAGTCGTCATTTCTGATCATCTTAATAATGACACCAGATTGTGCCAGTGGTTTAGGTTCACATATCCTGACTCTAGAGATCCATGTTCTCTTGACCCTGAAGCGCCATCCTCCTAAAAACTTCCTTCTCAATGTGAAATGCATTTGTTCTGTGCCTGGTTTCATGGTGCTGGTGTGGATCTGGTGCTTGGCTTGTCCTTCAACCAGACCGTGGTCCAATTATTCCAGCAGCACAAACAGAAGAATCATTTCATCTGCTGCTGCCAACAGGCAAGGAAAGCTGTCAGGCAGCAACACCAACTCGACTGACACGTTGTGGGTGGACAAAAATAGGAACAGTGAGTGGATCACTGACCTGCAGCAAAGGTCTTTGACTTGGATTGCCAGGAGGGCTCTGAGTGTCTGGACAACCGTCACAACTGTTACTCAGCTGTTTAGCTGCAGATATTACACTGAGAAACCACTGCCAATGACCAGAGCCCGACTGTGCCAAAAAAAGGGGAGACAGAGGATGCTGGAGAGTCCTGCATCTTCCCCTGGGAACTAACTTGCAGTGGGATCAAGAAAGGGAAGGAAGAAAGGGAAGATTCAAGCCCTCCAGCTCATCCCTGGAGTTTGTTTAGCTCCAAGTGACATAGTGTAGAGCACAGGTGATAGGTAAGGACACCTGACCTAATTCCAAGACTGTTCTCAGCCATATGGGCATCCTGACTGTAGCTGCTGGGGTTGGGAACACTGGGAGTTGGGTCAAATCCATTGGGTAAAATTTTTAGCCCCACCACTACTGGTAGATATTCATGGAATTACAAGAACATGCCAATGGCACCTAAACCCATGGTTTTGATGAGACTGTATTATCTGCCTGTGGAATGGGAGGAGAGCCAGGACACCTCACAGCAACATCCAGCATGAAATCACAGCCTCCGTGGACTACCCTCCACTTTCAATCCCATCATCCTGCAAAGCCTGTTTCACATGTCAAAGAGCTGCAACGGGAGTTCACAGACACTGAGCCCCTTAATCCAGAGCAGAAAAGCTGTCAGCCAGAACCAGACAGCAGCTAAATCCAGGATGTTTCTAATCCTGATCTCGGCACTGTCTAGGAGCACCTGGTGGTGGAGAGAGGGGCAGACTTTCTGCTGGCCAGCCCTCGCTGGTGGCATTCCCCGATGGCCCAACTCTGTCGCGAGGAATGACATTTTCTACATACACACAGGAACAACTGAGCTGGGGTGGCCATTCCTAGAATGCACAACTGGCTGGGGCTGCATTTGCCTGGGAAACTGGAGACCCAGGTCCCCCATCCCAGCCCCAAGCCCGCATCCAATCACACAGACAATAACAAGGCTCGAAGGCTATTTCTAGCCTTACAGTATGTCCCCCTCGGAGGTTGGTGCAGTGAAACCCTGATCCTGAGCACCTGTGCTGGCCAATCTGAGGGATTTTCATGTTTGGGCAACTCTAGGTACAGCCAAGCAGATCATGGGAGAAGGTAGGAAGCCCCTTCCTCTCCCCCTCCCCTTGCTGGGATGACCCAGCAATTGCACACACTTTGTCCTTTACATCAGTCATAGAATACCCTGAGTTGGAAGGGACCCACAAGGATCACTGAGTCCAAATCCTGCCCCTGCACAGGACAACCCCAAAAATCACACCATGTGCTCAAGAGTATTGTCCAAATGTTTCCTGAACTCTGGTAGTCGTGCAGGGGGGCCCCTGGGCAGGAGGGTAAAGCCTCATGGGAAGAGCAAGTAGGAAGTTCTCCAGCAGAGAGGATAAGGATGGAAAAGGAAAAAGGGACTTGACACCCAAGCACTGTCACCTGCAAACATATCAGCTCTGGGTGACATGGAAGGTTTCTGCCAGAAAACAAAAGCTGAAGGGACATTTGGGTCTGAGGTCAGTCAGAAATTAATCTGTCCACCCTGGTCCCCTGCCAGGTTCTCCAGCCAGTGTTAAAGAAACCTGGTCATGGAGATGCTCTACTGTCCATGTTCTACTGAACTGCTCAAGAAAAGTGTCCCCCAACCTGTGTCTCAGCAGCATAAATCCCTTCCTCCGTGTCCTACCTCATGTAAGCCTGAAGAATCTGTCTTTCCATCCCTTTGTAGGGTAAGTCCTGTCTTCCTTGTGGAAAACCAGCAACCCTTATCCCCACCTTTTATTTCCTAGACCTGGGCAGTCCCATTCCTTCCCCTCTGCTCCCTCTCCAACATTTCGCACAACTCTCAAAGCAAAGCGACAAAACCAGGGCACAGCCCCACGAGTGAGACCTCACCCTTCCAGAAGAAGGATCCCTCCACGCATTTTCCACCCCACACTCCTGCTCCCACACACCAAAGGCAGCCCCTTCATCTTGCCCCCACCCACCCACGACCCCGAGCGGCCTCCAACGCACCTTCATGCCCACCAGGTTGTTGTGGAAGTCCACCCGGGCTCGCAGGTCCTTGTTGGGCTTCCTCCCCAGGAACTCCTTGACGAACTTGTTGCTGTACTTGAGGTTGTCCCCGCAGCCCCCCCACTGCCAGGCCTCCCTGTTCTCCAGGTCGGGCGCCTCGTCGCACGTGCAGCGCTCCATGCGGCCTGCGCTGCACGCCTTGGCCATGGCGTGGGTCAGCCCCGCCGAGGAGATGGCGTACAGGAAGGCTGTCTCCTTGAAACCTGCGGCGGGGAGGAGAGAGAGAGGCTTTAGTTGTGGCTGGAGGAAAGGTTAGAGAAAGGAAAAAAAACAGTAGGATGCCGAAGGAAAACCTGTTGTGACAAGAGCTTGAGCCGCGTCATGGAATCATGGGGTGGGACCACAGCGGGGCATCTGGGCCCATCTCCCTGCTCAAGAAGGGTCATCCCACAGCACATGGCGCAGGATTGTGTCCAGATGGCTCTGGAATGTCTCCAGTGAGGAAGGCTCCACGCCCTCTCTGGGCAACCTCTTCCAATGCTCGGTCATTGTACAGGAAAGAAGTTCTTCCTCATGTTCAGGTGGAACATCCTAGGTACCAGTGTGGAGATGATCTTTAGGGTCCTTTCCAACCCAAACCATTCTGGTATTCTATGAGTCTATGAAAGGTGTTTTTTAAGGACAGCACTTGGTTCTGGATTTCTGCAGTCTTGGCTCACTCAGAGCTCCCATCCCACCAAATGATATCATCCTTTTCCATGCACTGAGGAAGGAGGAAATTCAGCCCATGAAGTCTGTTCTCAGCCTGTGAGGCATCAGTTTCTGCCCATTGCCTCTTGTCCTGTTGCTTGGCACCACTGAGAAGAGCCTGGTCCACCCTGTCACACCCTCAAAGCACGTCAAGCTCTACATGCATCACTGATGGTGAAGAGGACACAGAGGGGGTAAGGAATGTGTGGAGGTGGCAAAAGCCAGGATTAAAGGATGTGAATAAAGTCTGTGCCATCTCTGTGGCTGTCTCTCTGTGCACAGTCTGTGCCTGGAAACAGAGCTGAGCAGGAGTTGTACCACCCTGGGAGTGTCCAAGGCCAGGTTGGACAGGGCTTGGAGCAACTTGGGATAGTGGAAAGTGTCCCTGCCCACAGAAGGGAGTTGGAGTGAGATGTTCTTTAAGGTCCCCTCAAAGCCAAACCACTCCATGATTCCACGAAGGGTTGCACAGGCCATGGAGGTATCGTGGGACAGCACTGCTGCTACCAAGGGGACAACAAAGGGCAGGAACCCAGCACAGATTCCAGCCTGACAGCTGGGGCAGGAACCACAAGTGCTCCTTGTTCTTCCCTTTCTCCCTGAAAAAAAGTCATTGGGTCCTACTCCAGTCCAACAAAATTACCAGAAGGCACCTGAGGGCTGGGACCCCAACACAGTACCTCACTCGAGTGCCTCAAAAAGCAGTTTACTCCTCAAACCTTCCCTGCACAACCCCCTTCCTTACACCTCCACACTCACCTACAGGGATGTGACAGCATCCACTCCCCTCACCAGTTTAAGTGACAATCAGAGAGCCCCAGGATTTCAATCCAAATCACAAAAGGCCAGAAATAAAAAGCAAACATGGCAGTATTTATAGCTGCCCATTCTCCGGCCATGGAAGCCGTAAACGACTGCATATTTGAGATGCAATTCCAGCCCAGCTTTGGATGGGGCTCAAGAAATCCCCCACTCAAAAATAACACAAGTGGCTGGTGCCAGTAGTGGATATATCTGTGAGCTGGTGTGTCAACCGAGGACATGCAGAGACACTGCCAGGTCATTTTTGGAACTGTTCCTTGGGAGGTCCATGATAGTCCAAGCTCATGGGGCACTTCCTGGCCCATTCCCAGAGCCTGCCTTCCCAAAACACTCCCAGGTGCACAAGGACTGATGAAAATCCAGCTCAGGGGACTGAGGTTTGGTCCTCCCAAGGGTTCTGACTCAAACCAGGTTGTGGTAGGAATTATCTAACTGTTCTCTTGCTCACTTGGAAAAGAGGAGCAGGAACCATTTCCTCACTTGAAGGAAAGTTAAAATAAAAAAAGCTCGACTCCACACTCACTGAGGACATTTTAAGGACTAGTCAGGGTTGGGAAGCCAAATTCAGAGTTTTTCCATCTGTTTTTCCCCCAAAGTTAGACCACATCCTCTGACACCACAGAAACACCTCCAGCATTGCAAACACTCCCATTGGAACTGCTGGGAGAATCCCTTATTTTAATTCATACACCAAAACCTCATGGATTCTGAACTCCTCTGGGTAGCAAACGCCTTCTAAGCAGCTTTCACCCTTTGTAGGGTATTTTTTCTAGGTTACACCCTAGGTCAGCTGCTCACATGCCTGCCAGAGGGATGCCACTACGAAAGACAGATGTTCCCAAGCCTCTGTGCTCCTGGATTGTAGAATTGGCTTCTTGCCACTGTGCTACAAAATAAAGAGTTCTGAGTGTGCTGAGAGAGTCCTCAATGGAAGAAGGTGTGTGAACTCTCCTCTGAAGGTCTGAGACACTGCAATCATGGAATAATTTGGGTTAGAACGGATCTTTAAGTCCATCTCACTCCAACCCCTGTGCCACGGGCAGGGACATCTTTCTCTAGACCAGGTTGCTCCAAACCCCATCCAACCTGGCCTTGGGCACTTAAGCCCCAGCAAACTGCCTGGATGTGGTTTGGTTTATTAGCCCAGACCCACAATCTTCCTGACTGGAAGCACTGGATTCCCAGTGGGTGTGAAACCTCAGCTGTGCCACCACAACAGAAATCCAGGAGAAACGGTTCATCTGCCAGGTTCTCTCCCCCTTCCATCAACCTCCACCCATCAGCCTGGGCTCTACCCTTCCCGTTCTCCATCCCTGGAAGCTCCACAGATTCCCAGTGCCCATCTCATCGCCGCGGGTATCGTCCCACCCACACGGGCAGCTCTTCCAACCCAACTCCACGTGACATTTGGCTCTGGCCAGCCCCAAAGCCATCTCTGCCACGCACTGTTTGATTGCACCAAGATATTCTGTAACAAGATAATGAGCTTCAAATCAATGCAGGCATTCTAACCCCCGCAGCACTGACAGCCTGCAGGCCGCAGCTATCCAGTTTCAGCCATCTCCAAAATTGTTTGCGAGGATCCAAAGAGGATAACGAGTCCCTCAAACAATCCCCTGTTATTTTAAGAAACGGGCTGCATCAGCCCAAGCTGCAAACCAAGCAGCCAGGCTCTTCTGGTGACCAAGTTTAAAACTTTCTCCCTCCGCTTATAAGTGAAAAAAGTGGTTCGTTTTTTTGTTTTTTGGGGGTTCCCCCCCCCCCCTCCCCCCTTTTTCTTTACTCCTTAAGAAGCTGCTCCTGGAGGAGAGGAAACAAGCCCACCCCGAATAGCTGTGTCTGAGAGGGTGATACATGTGCCTCTTTGCCCTGGGGTATCACTCGCTGCAACGCTGAACCAGGAACCAGCAGCTCCTGGAGAGGAGGAGAAAGATTTACAGGGCAGGGTGTTGCTCCATGGAACAGCACCTGAAGGATTTACAGCGCTGGCGGAGGGCAGAGATGGTGCAGGGATATAAAACACGGCAGAATGAGACAGCAGGCAGAGCCCTGCAGCCCTCGGGGCTGTCATTTATTACCCGGGGCCCTGACAAGGGGTGGGACCAGGGGGGTCCCGACGGTGTTTTGAGGCAGCTCAATTTGGGGCTGCTCCTCGTCCAGGGCTGCCCAAGGGACAGGCCCGTCTGAAGGAACAAGCTGTGGCCTCCAGGTGTCAGCATGAGAAAGTGCTTGGCTTTCCCAAGGCACCACTAATCCAGGGACTCCTCTGGCATGCGGGGATATTTTTAAACGTCTTGCAGCTCTCTCTGGCTCTTGGACCTCTTGGGTTTCATAAGGACTTTCCTTGTTTCCACCACTCAGTGACAGTGCATTAGTTAAGCCCTGGCGCTTCTGAATTACTCCTCCTCACTAATTAGTGAGGGAGGGAGCCCTGCAAACCTCTGCTCTTGTCTTTAAAGACATCAGCCCCCGTGGTTTCCAGGTCCATCTCTAAGTGTGGGACTTTCTGGAAGTCCCTGAACCCCCTCCTTTTTTGTCTGTAAAATAGTCCTGCTGCATTTTAGCTGCAAGCTGGAAATAACAACGGGATTTACTGCGAGGGTGGGGGAAACTGGACTGTGTGAGACAGCACAAAGGAAGGAGGTAAAAGCACCACCTGATCCTCCAATATTCGGATGGTCACCTCCACCTGAACTGCTGGGAAGAGGTGTGGGAATTACCCTCCACACACAAGCAGGAGTTTTCCCCTGGGTAGGGCAGTAACAGGACACAAATATTCACGGGCTTTGCCCGGTGCTATGATGGGGCTTCCCTTGCCCTCTCTCCAACAGGACAGCACAGAACTGCCTGGTTTGCCTTGTTTCCCTTAAGAAGGCATTTTCTCAACTCCTTTCCTGAAAGAGTGACATAATAAATAGGAAAAAAATAAAAAGGGGGGGTGGAAAAGAAGAGGGGGAGAAAAGAAAGAAGAGGGGGCGAAGAAAAAGAAGAGGGGGGGAAAAGGGGAGGAGAAGGAGGGGGGAACAAGAAAAGAGGGGGAAAGAATAAGGGGGGGAAAGAAGAAGAAGGAAAAAAAGAAGGGGGAAAAAAGAAGGGG